AGTGGAAATTGGGGTGACACTTGTTGGCCATTGAAAGCCTTGACCAAGACTAAGTAGTCTTACCTTCTTATCACCACAGAGCTGCCTTTCTTCATCATTTTTCTGTTGCTTTGGCTGAGAGAGAGGGAGATAAAAACCAAGGGAGAGCTGCACCAATTCATCTTGGGTTTGAGTCATCCAAGTAAGGAAACAAGAAACTAAACCGATTAAAACCTTCCTTGAGTGTTTAGCTAGTGGTGTGTTGGTGAAACTTTGGAAGGAAAAGCTAGGGCTGCTCTTGGTAGTCACTTTAGCAAGGTAATAATTCTGATTTCCCCATTTCTTACTCTTAATCTTGTTTAACTTGGCATAACACCTTAGATTTGTGGTGGATGATAGCTATTATCATGATTTGGGTGGATATAGTGTATGTTTTTTTTAGTTACATGAGTTAGGGTTTGAAGGCGTTGCTGCCTATACTTGTTGTATGGATAGTATATGTTGTATCTAAGCTTATATAAGAGGTTGTGGTAGTGATTGAAGTAAGAAATGAAGAAAGTTTCTTTTGAAACCGTAAAATTCCAGATTTCTGGAAAATTGTAGTTCAGTTCTGTCTGGTTCCAGTTCATGATGTTAGAGGCTGAATTAGCCTTGGCATAAAACATGAAAGTTGTAGAAAATGATATTTTATAGTTTCCTACAAAATTTCAGGCCAATCAGAGCAATGTAGCCTGTAAAAATATCAAAATACCCTCACTGCCCTAGGATGCATCCAGCGATCCATTTTAGACAATTCATCCAATTGACCGTGTCTATTCACTATGATCTGTGCTGATTTAGCCATTTGCCAAAACATGAAAATTTTATTATTCTGTCTTAGCTTTTCAACGCCTCCAAGATAGCCTTAAACGGACTTTGGCAGCCTGAGATATGACCATTTGAATGTAGTACGGTTAATTAGCCGACTAGTTGGAATTTGGTTCTGTGAACTGGGAATTTGACTAGGCTACACTGGAAATTTGACTAAGTGATCTTCATGAGAATTTTAGCCCTGTGTCTTAGCTTCAAAATGGCATAAATTTCATTCCAATCTGATAAGCGTAGCCTCGGATGTGTCCATTCCGCAACAACCCATCAAATCTGTCTTTTGTTAAACTTCATTTCCGCACTTGTTGTTAGCTTAATTTTTGTACTTGTATTGTCTTGAGTCTATTGAACGGCTATTGAAATGAATTTGTGTTGTGTGTAACCTTGGATTTGATTAAGGAAAATAATGAAGCCAAAAATGGCTGGAAATAGGAAAATACAAAGGGCATGTTGCCCAAATTTACGCTCGAGGACTAGAGAAATATACTTGCGACTTGAGTAAGGGTTAAGAGTGATTACTACTTGAACCATCTAGGACATTTGCTACTTTGTTTAGCGAGGGTTATACGTTAGAACCTAGCCGAACTTGTACCCTTAGGAAAAGCGGTAATAATCACTATAAATCCATTTTCCTTGTACTTTCGACTCAAAAGTCATTTCCAAGTAAACATGTTACAAAATTTTTCAGTTTGAAAAGCGAGCAACTGTTTCATGACCACTCTCCAAGAAAATTTTAATTTTTTGATTTTATTGAATGAAACGTCTAAGTTTCGAACCTTAGTTGATTTTCAAAATTCTTAAATCAAGTTTTATCGCAGATTTAGACTCCAAACCCGGAGTACCTTCCAGACGCGAATAGTAGAGGTACTACTTTTGGTGAGTGCTTCCAAATATCTGATTGAACTTGATGTTTGTAATTTATCTTTGACCAACGTGATTACGTGATATATAAGTGATTTGATAGGGCAAGGGTGTACTTTATCGCACTTGCTCTGATAAGAATTGTTCTTGTTTACCTATTTCACTTGACTTGCTCTACATGCATATGAATTATATCTTGCCTGGAATTCCAGAAACCCTGTGGCTAGTTAATCGAGTCGAGCCGGCAAGGGTCTGGTCTATTAGATAACGAACCCTGGGTAACTAGTAATGTCGAGTGGAGTGTTATCTCCTCGACAAATCGGTATACTCGAGTATTATCACCTGTGTTTCATGTGGCGTACGGGCCCGGAAAAGGGGGTTGATCGGTGGACGGAAACTGGCGTGAAGTGGGGTTTTCTTTCTGGACTAGTTATTACTGAAAGTTGACGGAGTGTCAACTACCAATCGATCAAGCTGGGATGGAGCCGAGACATGACCTACTGTATCCTTACCTATGAATATAATCCATATATTTCTTGACTACCTGAAGTATTATCTCTTTGATTGGACTTGTTTGCTTGCTATTTCACTATTACACTGTTATTACTTTGTTTGATGGCCAATTTGATATTTGGAACTTCACTGAGCTTTGGTTCACTCCGTTAGTTTTGTTTTCCTTACCGGGGTACGAGCGAGAGTGAGACATGTAAAGACTAGCGTAGTTTAGTTGTTTTGACTTTTGACTTGTACTCGCGTTATTTCTTGAATAGAATGTTTTGTATTTGGATTGTATACACTTTGAACCAGTTTGGGTATATTGAGGCTTTGTATCTTGATTGTGCATCAATGTAAATTATAAGCTTGAATTGCGATGTTATTTGTGGTCCATGGACGTATACACGTGATACGAGTGAGTGAGTCCTGGCGAGAGTTGGGCAGGCGGTCCGCCGAACCCTTTGGTATGCCTTAGGGGGAGGTGGGGTCGTCACAGGAGCGGCGGACAAGGAAGAAATAGGGGGAAGGCTGAGCGAGGGGACTTGAGGGAAAAGGCAAGAAAAAACAAAAAAATAAAAAAGGGGAGCGGCGAAGAAAACAGAGGAAAAAAAGGGAAATCTGAGAACCAAGGGAGAGGGTAACGGCTGAGGAGTCTGGGAAGAAAAAGGAAAAAAGAAAAAGAAGGGGAACAAGAACAGAGGGCATCATCTGAGAGGAAAAGGGAAAGAAAAAAGAACAGAGCAAAGGAAAAAACCGGGGGGAACGAACAGAGAGTGAGGCTTCGGCTGGGCAAGGAAAAAGAAAAAACAGAGGAAGAAGAGGATAGAAACAAAAATAGGGAGAAGCATTTGTTTGCAAATATCTGGAAATTTGCGAATTAGCCCCTGAACCATAATTAATTTCATCACGGCACGAATAATTTGATTTTTCTTTCAATTAGGTCCTGAATTAATTTCAAATTGACCCTTGTGCTTAGTTCTCTTCATGTTTTGTACATATTGACCTTTGTTCCTTGGCTTTTGCCTAATTTCTGATAGGACCCGAAAATTGGAAAAGTTGACTTATTTCACCCTTTTAGATCTTAATTATCTTTTCATTTTTTTAAGTAGTCTTTTGGGTAGATTAATTCTTGATTTTAGGTTATAATTGTGATTTAATAATTTTATTTGATTTCATCAGGTTGGGTTTTAGTGAAATAGGTGATTTGGGTTAAGAGGTTATTTTTTTACTTGGGTTTAAGGGAGTGGGTTTAGCTTATTTATTTGGGTTTCTGGCTTGGGCTTAGGAAGATAAAGTCCAATACTTTTGGTTGGGTTTTAGGATTGGGTTTTTGATTAATTTGGTTGGGTTTTAACTGGTAAAAAAAGTGGGTTGACCTATTTCATTCCTTTGGACTTCTAATGGGGCCAAGTGGTCTTGGCCCTAGAAGAAGTTAGAAAATGGCCCAATGGCCTGATCCATTAAGAAACCAGAAAGCAAATTTGTAAATCAATTCCTGTACTTCTAAATAATTATGCTATGGCCGTAAAACTTTTGTCATCTTTCAGATAGGTCCCTAATTTAATTGCAAATAGGTCTCTGTATTTTATTTTTCTATAATTATGACCCTAAATCTTTATGATAATTATATGTTGACCCCAGAACTTTGTTAATTTTTGCAATTTAGTCCTTGTTGTTTTAATTTTCTGAATGTAGGTTGTTTACATGATTCAATTTCATGTTTATTTCCATTTTTTTATGATTATTTGTTAATTAAAGTGATGCCTTGACCATTTTATTTGTTTTTGGAGGAAAATAAGAAACTTTTCACTTTCTTAGGTCGCTAATTCAAGGAAGGTGCCCCTATGTGATTTTTGTGTGTGATTGCATGCCTATTAAATGTTTTTATTTCATTTATTTATTTAGGCAATTTAATTGTTTTAATTTTATATATTTATTTTAATTTAATTTGTAATTATTTGGGAAGACAATTAAATGTCAAAATTGTAATAGTTAGGTTATTATTTCATTTTATTTAATTCTTTCCCCCTTTAGATTGTAGTAGGGCTCCCCGAATGTAATAGTTAGGGCTTTATTTGCTTTATTCGCCTTGTGTGTTTTTGCATGCTTATGTGTTACATGTTATTTGCTTTCTTAGGGTCTTGCATCTAGATATCGTGATTATGTGTTATGTGTTTATGTAGTGTTATGTGTTTATTTGATTTTTATTAGTTTTACTTGATTAATTAATTATAAATCAATGTGTGACGTCACCACACTAGTCCAACACTAGTTGCGGTCCAACGCTAGTTGTGAACCTTTTTCTTTGATTTATGTAGACTTGGAGTCGTTTAAAAAAGGATTTTCTATTTTTTTTCCTTAAAAATTTATTTTTAGGTGATTTGGTACACCTTAACTCAATACCAAGTGTGACTCCTATTTTTTCATTAAAAATCAATTTTTAAACTATGTTTTGGGCCAAAAATCGTCACACTTTCAAACCCCATTTAGGCCCTTTTCATTTTTTCTTTACTCATTTTCTTAAAATCAAATAATCATTTTTTAATCAAAATTAATCCCTTTATTCATTGTCTAAATTCAAAAATCATTTTTCATTGAAAATAAATCAAAAATTCATTTTCTACAAAACTTGTTTTTTTATTTTTAAAAATGGGGCGTGACAGCTGTCGACTCCACTAGGGACTTGGAGCGTCCGAGCATTCCATTCAGTCAACCTTTTCTTCTTTTAACCTTCTTATATATCACATTTGGAGGTATTAGGTTGCATTGTTCTTTTCCTTTTCCTTTTTTTTCTCTTTTTAGGGTTTTTCCAAGAAGCTTTTAGCAGTCGTATCGGTCCCTAGAGGATAGGACCCCGTTTTGAAAAATTTCTTGATATCGCTGTACCAGGAACGGCCATCGGGAGATTTTTCCACAACTAGGCAATGAGCAGGTTTTTCTTGTAGATGAATTTGGATAGGTTCGATTATCAACTCGTTTGGATGTTGAATCATTGAAGATAAAGTGGCCAAAGCATCGGCAAAGACATTTCTGACATGTGGAATATGCCAGAACTCCAAACTCCTAAACTTGTTTGCCAACACCAATAAACTGCAATGATAGGGCAAGATCTTTGAATCCCGAGTGATCCACTCCTTGAGAGTCTGATGTACAAGCAAATCGGAATCGCTGAACACTAGAAAATCCTTAACCTCCATTTCCAATGCCATTTTTAACCCAAAAATACAAGCCTCATATTCGGCCATGTTATTAGGACAAGGAAATCGTAGTTTAGCGGAACCAGGATAATGCTTCCCTTCTGGCGATACTAGAACAGCTCCAATATCGGCTCCAAAGGAATTTGATGCACCATCAAAGAATAGCCTCAATTCAGAACATTTTTCATTCATGTCTTCCATTGTACCAATGAACAGGACCTCCTTATCTGGAAAATAAGTATGAAGTGGCTGATAATCATCTTCTTTCGGATTCTCAGCCAGGTGATCTGTTATGGCCTGCCCCTTGATGACTTTTTGCATGGTGAAAATGATGTAGAATTCTGAAAGAATCATCTACCATTTTGCCATACGTCCCGTCGGCATAGGTTTTCCTAACAAATATTTCAAAGGGTTGGAGCGGGAAATGAGGTAGATAGTATGACTGAGCAAGTAATGCCTCAACTTTTGAGCGGCCCACGCTAAAGCACAATAACTCTTCTCAAGAAAAGAATAGTTGGCCTCATACGCAATGAACTTCTTGCTGAGGTAATAGATGGCTTGCTCCTTCTTTCCCGACTCATCGTGTTGTTCAAATACGCATCCCATAGCTTCATCCAACACAGTTAAGTACATGATCAGAGGTCGACCAGGTTTGGGTGGCACTAAAACCGGAGGAAGCACCAAATAGTCCTTGATCTTATCAAACACCTGTTGGCATTCTTCACTCCAATACAATGGCACATTGTTCTTCAATAATTTAAACAAAGGCTCACATGTGTGGGTCAACTGGGCGATGAACCTTCTAATAAAGTTAATCTTCCCTAAGAATCTCTTCACATCCTTTTGTGTTTTTGGTACTGGCATTTCACGAATGGCTTTAATCTTTGTCGGATCTATCTCGATACCCTTCTTACTGACAATGAATCCCAATAACTTTCCGACAGGGGCCCCGAATTCACACTTCACAGGATTTAATTTCAAACTATATCTTCTCAATCTTTCAAATAACATTTCCAAGTCAATCAAATGATCCTTCACTCTCTTGGATTTGATAATGATGTCATCCACATAAACCTCCATCTCCCTATGAATCATATCATGGAACAGGGTGGTCATGGTCCTTTGATAAATGGCGCCGGCATTTTTCAATCCAAACAGCATTATTCGGTAGCAAAATGTCCCCCATGGCATGATAAAGCAGTTTTCTCCCTATCTTCCTCTGCCATTAAGATCTGGTGATACCAGCAAAACAATCAGCAAATGATTCGATCTCATGTCCAGCGGTATTGTCCAGAAGAATATGAATGTTTGGCAACGGAAAATCTTCTTTTGGACTGGCCTTATTAAGATCCCTGTAATCGACACAAACTCGCACTTCTCCACTTTTCTTCGGAGCAGGTACAGCATTCGAAAGCCAAATAGGATAATGAGACACCATGATGATTCTAGCATTGAGCTGCTTCTCGATTTGTTCCTTAATTTTGAGGCTCATGTCTGGCTTAAACTTGCGAGGTTTTTGCTTTACTGGTGGAAAATTCGGATCAGTCGTAATCGATGGACCACTATATCTGTTGAAATTCCAGGCATATCAGCATAGGACCAGGCAAACATATCTTGAAACATGTCAAAAACTCAATCATCTCTTTTCTCTGTTTCGTATTCAAATGAATGCTAATTTTATCTCCTTAACCTCAGTCTCAGTGCCAATATTAATGGTTTCTATTTCTTTTAAGTTCGGTTTGGATTTCTCTTCAAATTGTTCAAGATTCTTTAATAAAGACTCAGATTCTTCCTCGTTATCGCTCTCGTCTTGAATTTCTGATTCCAAAATTTCAAATTCGAGAGAGATATTGAGGTTGCAATCGTCAAATTCCAGAATAGTGATATCCAAAGGGTCAATGCGTTTTATTTTGGCCATCTGAAAAGAATGAAATAGATATAACAATGCGTAAATAAATCAATTTGGGAAATAAACAATTGTGCATTTTATTGAAATTCAAAGTAAAGGATAACATCATGACATGCTACATAACAAGAGATTTAACATAAGACTTGCATTGGAAAACATTTGATTAAAAACTATTTACAAACTGAAAGACAAAAGATAAGTAATGCGAATGATTTCTCTCATGTCGACCAAAGGCAATCCCCTAAATTTATCGAAATTCCCTTCGGGAGGGAAGGAGATCATTGGTCCAATTTTCATTACTTCAACAGGCACCTCAGAAAACTCTGAATTCTCTGATGACTCCCCCTCAGAAACAACCCCCACAAATAGCTCAGATAATCCAATATCCACTTTCTCGATCGGGTCCACTTCAGATCTAATCACCTCCGATGGATAAGGAAAAGTACAGTACAACGGTGGGATGCTTATGATAAGTTGCCTCCCTTCCTTCTCTGCCCTCTTGCGATTCATCATTTTTTTCTTATCCTTGTCAATAGGTTGAAACCCTAATTCGAAGGTGTCCTTCTTTCCTTGAATCTCTATTGGTTCCAAAACCCCTTGTAGGTTACGCCCAAGGCCCTTGCCCAAGGCCCTTGCCTATCTCATATCCTTCTCGAATCAGCTTTTTAGCCATCATAACACTGGTTTCGGGTAAATTCATTTTCATCATTGCCTTGTCTTTAGATCCCCAACCTACTGAGACAATATCAGCCACGTGGTAAGGAGAAACCAGAGTTTTCCAATCATTTTCCTCTTCCAATGCAGGTGTAGACACCAAAATTTTCGTTTATTTAACTTAATGTTAGATTTATTTGTTATTCTAGTTTTATTTTATTTTATTTTATTTTATTTTATTGATTAGATGATAATTAATACTCATTTTTGTTTATTTTTATAAGTAGGTTCATGATTTTATTTTTCAAATATTTTTGCATTAAAATTTCTAAAAAAGAAAAGGTTTTTTTCAATCATCTTAGATTCAATTTGAAAAACAAAAAAATATAATTGACATTTGAAAATTTTCAGTTTGTTTTAATTTGTTTTTAAATTGATTTTTGAAGAAAAACAAAAATGATAAAAATAATAGGAAATTGTGTAAATAGGTGGAAGCTTGCATATTAGACAAATGGGGGACATGCAATGGGAACAAGTGTCCCTTTATATTTTTAACAACACAACACCTAAAAGGTGAGGTGTTGGGACACTTGCTTGGCTTAGGAAATTTTGGGGGAACAAAAAATCAAAAGAAAATACAAAAGAAGAGAGTTGGGGGCTAGGGTAAGAAGGAGAGCTGGAGTGGGAGAAGAGAGGGGAGGTAGCGGAGAAAAAACAGAGGAACGAAAGGAAGCTACAAAAAATAAAGCAAGGGGGAAGAAAAAGGGGGGCTGTGAGGACTTACAAATTCCTTATATTTTTTCTCAAAAATGTCCTTTTATTTGGAAATTATTCATTTATTATAACCCTACTACCCAATCGCTCCACAATAAGTGCAAATGAACCTAAAAAGTAGGGTTTCACATTTCGTTTTCTAGTTGGAGCAAGTTAGGGTTTTCACGTGTATCCATAGTGTAATTATCCGGTACGAAGTAAGGATCAAATTTAGTGCTTAAGAGTGACTTTTAGGTGAGAAATAATATGTGATTAGAAGCAATGATATAAAATTAGTGAATAGGAAGTAAAAACTCTAGTACGTGTGATTTAAGAAAAAACGGTGCGAACTGACGTGTACCGTGCACTACCGATTGAATACACCACTTGGTCACCACTTTCTTACCATACAAGCTCATTACTATTTGATCAAAATATCCCCTCATTTCCAGCTGGCTTTGGCTGAAAATTTTGACCAAAATTGCAAGGAAAAAAACAAAAAAAATGAGTGGAAATTGGGGTGACACTTGTTGGCCATTGAAAGCCTTGACCAAGACTAAGTAGTCTTACCTTCTTATCACCACAGAGCTGCCTTTCTTCATCATTTTTCTGTTGCTTTGGCTGAGAGAGAGGGAGATAAAAACCAAGGGAGAGCTGCACCAATTCATCTTGGGTTTGAGTCATCCAAGTAAGGAAACAAGAAACTAAACCGATTAAAACCTTCCTTGAGTGTTTAGCTAGTGGTGTGTTGGTGAAACTTTGGAAGGAAAAGCTAGGGCTGCTCTTGGTAGTCACTTTAGCAAGGTAATAATTCTGATTTCCCCATTTCTTACTCTTAATCTTGTTTAACTTGGCATAACACCTTAGATTTGTGGTGGATGATAGCTATTATCATGATTTGGGTGGATATAGTGTATGTTTTTTTTAGTTACATGAGTTAGGGTTTGAAGGCGTTGCTGCCTATACTTGTTGTATGGATAGTATATGTTGTATCTAAGCTTATATAAGAGGTTGTGGTAGTGATTGAAGTAAGAAATGAAGAAAGTTTCTTTTGAAACCGTAAAATTCCAGATTTCTGGAAAATTGTAGTTCAGTTCTGTCTGGTTCCAGTTCATGATGTTAGAGGCTGAATTAGCCTTGGCATAAAACATGAAAGTTGTAGAAAATGATATTTTATAGTTTCCTACAAAATTTCAGGCCAATCAGAGCAATGTAGCCTGTAAAAATATCAAAATACCCTCACTGCCCTAGGATGCATCCAGCGATCCATTTTAGACAATTCATCCAATTGACCGTGTCTATTCACTATGATCTGTGCTGATTTAGCCATTTGCCAAAACATGAAAATTTTATTATTCTGTCTTAGCTTTCAACGCCTCCAAGATAGCCTTAAACGGACTTTGGCAGCCTGAGATATGACCATTTGAATGTAGTACGGTTAATTAGCCGACTAGTTGGAATTTGGTTCTGTGAACTGGGAATTTGACTAGGCTACACTGGAAATTTGACTAAGTGATCTTCATGAGAATTTTAGCCCTGTGTCTTAGCTTCAAAATGGCATAAATTTCATTCCAATCTGATAAGCGTAGCCTCGGATGTGTCCATTCCGCAACAACCCATCAAATCTGTCTTTTGTTAAACTTCATTTCCGCACTTGTTGTTAGCTTAATTTTTGTACTTGTATTGTCTTGAGTCTATTGAACGGCTATTGAAATGAATTTGTGTTGTGTGTAACCTTGGATTTGATTAAGGAAAATAATGAAGCCAAAAATGGCTGGAAATAGGAAAATACAAAGGGCATGTTGCCCAAATTTACGCTCGAGGACTAGAGAAATATACTTGCGACTTGAGTAAGGGTTAAGAGTGATTACTACTTGAACCATCTAGGACATTTGCTACTTTGTTTAGCGAGGGTTATACGTTAGAACCTAGCCGAACTTGTACCCTTAGGAAAAGCGGTAATAATCACTATAAATCCATTTTCCTTGTACTTTCGACTCAAAAGTCATTTCCAAGTAAACATGTTACAAAATTTTTC